TAGAACTGGACAAACTGGACACTGTATTCCAGATGTGGCCTCACCAGGACAGAGTAGAGGGGGAGGATCTCTTCCCTCAACCTGCTGGCCAAGCTCATTTTAATACATCCTAGGATACTGTTGGCCTTCTTGACCACAAGGGCACACTGCTGGCTCACAGCCAATCTGTTGTTCACCAGGACACCCACGTCCTTTTTTGCAGAGCTCTCCAGCAGGACAGCCCCTAACCTGTACTAACGCGTGCAGTTATTTCTTTACACTCTACACTTGTTTTTGTTGAACTTCATCAGTTTCCTTTTTCTCAACTATCCAGTCTTTCCAGGTCCCACTGAATGGCAGAACAGCCTTGTCACGTCAGCCACTCCTCCCAGCTTTGTATAATCAGCAAACTTGGCAAGGGTGGACTCTATCCCATCATGCAGGTCATTGATGAAGATGTTGAAGAAGAGCGGACCCAGCACTGGTTTCATGACAACATCTGGGATCCTCATTGAAAACAACATCTATTATCATACCACTTGTTCTCATGGAACCCGTTGCTGCTGGTGACCCTCCACATTTGTCAAAAGCAGTGGCAGACCTGCTGTGTAAGCGGCTGCCTCACTCTCCTGCCAATGGCATAAAGCTGAGACATGAAAACAGTGAAGTATTTATACCAATATGAGAAGCACTTATATAAACAATGAGACTTGCCTTAATTAATGGTGGAAAATGAAACAGATTTAGGTAGTCATGGGTTAACTTCTCAATAGCAGTCTATAAAAAAAAAAAAAAATCAACAAAATCAAATGAGCGTTATTCAGCATCAAATACCACAAATACCAGTGTGAAAAGCAAAGCAGTTCAGCATGTGCTGTGCCTTTCATTGCAGCTACATCAGGGCATGTGACTGCAGTTTAAAATACAGCTCAGCTCTGGAAACTGTCTCGGTAGATCGACCACATTTTGCATTCAGAATCTGAGCTGCTTAATCAGAAAAAAAGAAATGCTTGGGGGTTGTTTGGGTTGTTTTTATTTATGCTCAATCAACCCAGGAAGCCAAAGTCTTTCATTTTGGGTATTATTGACTTTATTAAGTTTCAATAATTTTCCCTGTAGGAAATGTAAATTAAAGATATCAGCAATGGTGTGTGCTATGGAAAAATGGCTGATGAGCAAAGGGGAATAAATCTGTGACTTACAGAGATGAAGCTAAATTTGCAGGACTAGCAATTAGGATAAAAGTATCTCTTTACTAGTAAATTGTGGTATAAAGTCACTGAGACCCAACAGAATCCCAGATGCTGCTTTTAGAGAGATCATTTTCCAAAGCTGACAGCCAGGAAATGTAACTATCTCCTGTGGATACACTATTAATACCATTACTGCTGTTGTGATCACGTTTTCCAGACCATAATTTTCTGAATTCATAACAAACATTATATATTCAAAAGACCAGAAAACAAAGCATTACAAGCAAAGCAACCTGGCCATCAATCAGCTTAAAAGTAGTCTAAGTTGGGAAGTTTAGAAATTTCAGTTCAAGTAATTTTTCCATACCTGATCCTCTCTTAGCTAAAGAGAAATGTTATGGGACAGCACTCTGAAGATTCCAAAGCTTTTTGCTAGATAAATGGCTCTGCCCTCTTAGACAAATCTCCAGCAGTATTGTCAGTCCTACCCGCAACAAAACTCATAGATGAGGAGGAGAATGAAGATTGTGGCACATTTCACACTTCACAGAACGTTCAGGGCTCTTTGGGTTTCAGAGCCATGAACCTGTAACTCTGATTCTTTTTGTACCAAACAAGCTCTCTATTTACCTTTATAACTTAAAAGAAAAAAATACTTAATGCAACTATAAAACTGTAAAATCTCTCTCAATACCTACGCTACAACCTACTCTGATGTTCAACATATACTATTAGATACCTTTAGGTGGATGATGTGTCCTCTGGAAATGATTCCCATGTCCTTTAAATCTTCTTCTTCTAGAAGAAGCAATCGCTTTCCAGTGATATGATGTTCTTTGAACAAGCTAGCATATGCACTCATTTCACCAGAAGCATCGCCTTAAGGTAAGAGAGGTTATTCAGAAATCCATAAGGCTTTTCGATGAGGGAAGAAAAAGACAAACAGATGTATTTGTATTCGTTAATATGAACGTGAAGGTACATATGAACAGCTTTTACCTTTTCTAGTAAGTTGTTGCATCCAGAAGAACTGCAAAAAAAAAAAAAAAGGAATCAGCCTTGGAAGTTCGTGTTAGCAAAATTTTATATTACACTTACTTCAAGCTCACAAATATAATCACTTTTTTAGAAAATTAATTTTAAGAATATTTATAAGCTTTCATTAAAGGACTCAAGATTCTCCAATGTTATTTATCTTTTTAAAACTGCTTTCTACTTTGCAGGTCCATTCCTTAGCTTATCATTATGAAGAACAGAAATGACTGAGGCAAACAGTATAGCAACCTGCCACATGATAAAAGGGCTTTAGTTAAGCCCTTAGAAGCAGCAAGAGCTATCCTGGCTTTTGCACTGTCTTTACAGGGAGTCCTTCAATAAGCCTTAGCTAAACAATCCCATGCTGCACCATACACAAGAGTGCTAAATGGGACATGAAAATCACTGCGACACAGTGACATGCTAAAGATGAATAATTGGTATTACTGGCTTAGCATTTTAATTGAATAAAAGCGCAAAAAGAAGGCTCAGTGCCTTTTTTTACTACGAGATAGCCCAACCCCTTAACATATACCCTTAACTTTCAGTTAATTTCCATTCCAGTAGCATACAGCAAGATAAAACCTTCAAACCCATTTTAAACTCTCCAGGAAAAGCCTTGTTTAGACAGGTCTTCTTGTAGCACTTCCACATTTCCTAAATGATGGCTGAGGAATGCAGTCTTGGCTGCTGAAAACTCACAGCACAAATTATTTTCCAGACATCACAGAAGTATCTGTTTTATCAGGGTCACATAAATTCTTAACTTATGTATGGTCATTTTAAAAGCCCTTCCGGGACACAGGTTCCACCAAGCAAATAGCAGTCAAATCTCACCTAGATATTCTGATCCAGGTCATATTCCCTCCATACCCACCGCAACTGGCAGAAAGCTCCAGCAGCACAGCACTGGCCACGTTAACACAAGATACTCACCACATCCTCTTCAGTCCATGCACAAATATCAAAGGAGGGCAGCAACTGTATGAGAGATACGAATTGAAAAAAAAAAACATCTGACTGTTGCTCTCCCCTCCACCCAAAACTCACTCTGGTGGCTTTATTTGGTTCTTTTCCTCCAGTGAAGGGGAGGGCTTTAACCTGGGGCACCAGAGAGTACTTCCCAGACCAAAAGAACAACCCTTTGGATTCAAACCGATTGCGGGCTTACTCCAACTATCTCACTTCTTGTTTGATACTACAAAAAGGCTTTTGCTTTTGTTATGGATTTGATACCATCTGATTTCTGCAGGAAAAACAATGCTGTGATTATGACACCATCCAAAATGATGAGCATTTTCTGCAGAAGGAAGTAAAAGCACCACTAGACAGCAGTGAAGACAGGATTTGGAGTCAGGCTGCTGTGGCCAGTCTTCCTGTTGGGAACCTGTTGGGACAATTCTCCTCTGGTTTCTGCCAATGCTCCTTAACTGCTTGCCTGAGGCTCCGTGAGCACAGCACCTTCCCAGCCCCTGTGGCATTGCAGCCGATGTGTGGCATGCTTTGTCGTGGCTCTTGAAACCATGAAGGATAAATGTGAAATTCTGGGATGATTTGAAAAAGCTGACACAGTAGAAGACCTCACTGCAATACTGATCGCTGTTTTACTCACACAAGCATATGTTACCCAGGCTTCACCTTATTTGCATTCTTATCCAGAAAAAGAGTTAATATTAATTTGTATGTACACATTTGGACAGTCAGAATCTCCCAAAGGCTCAATGCCATAATGCACTTGTAAGCTTACTTGATGTATGTAACACTGACCTAAGAGAGTAACAGCTCGGTTACCCACTGGCCTCCAGGCCTTTCTTACCTCCAGTGAGTGAGCTTTGCTGGTCTGTGAGCACCCCACCCTCACCCTGTCTGTGCCCAGCTAAAGCCCACAGCAGAGCTGTCCCTTCTGGCCCAACCTGAGCACATCCCAGGATCTCCACTACCAAGACCAGGTTCTAGTATAATCCACCCAAAACTTCCAGCTCTGCCCATCACAACATTCACGTGAAGCTCCCACTGGAGGATTTTGATTGCCCAACACTCCTTGACACATCCTCCATAACTGCAGCTTTTGATATCCAACCCCGCTTGGAGCTTGAGGACTCTTCAGATCCTCTTCCTCCTACCATCACCATCACAGTCTGCTGTGCACAAATCATCCGTGAGATCTGAAAGCACCTCTGAGAGAAGGACCTGGTGGGCCATTACACCTATCCCTCTGCCCACTGCAACCCCAAAACGGACAGAGCCAAAGGCATCATAGTGAAATGTAAGATGGGAAAACGTGCTTGCTAGAAAAAGACTTGAGTTTTTGACTGAAAACATGATATTGTAAAGACAATCTTCTAAATCTACCCGCTGCTAGTCAGTCTTATCTTGTGCTAACAGTTACCTGCTGCCCGGGGAGTAGTGCTGAGGCAACAACTGGGCGCAAGGAAGGGCAAATGGCCACCACAAAGACCCTTGTGAAGGCAGCAGGTCGTGCCTTTTGTGGGTACTTATTGTCAGAAGGGCTGGTGCTGGGTGAGGAGCTTGTAGAATAATTGGTATGATTAAACCGCTCACTGCAGAAGTGCAATATTGCCATTTTTGATTGTATAATTTTCAGGCTTTCCCACATTCAAGTATAACCAAAGAGTATATTCCATATTCTTTCAAAATTTAAAAAAATGGAAAGAAAAGGTGGGCAGAGTAAAGGAGAAGTGTTACACAGTGAGTAACATAAAAATGACTTGAACCACCAGACAGTAAGGAACCTCTTCAAACACCAGCATTTTACACAGGGACACAGATGCATAAAATTTACTGTCAAAATGTTTATTGCAAAATAGAGTTTGGAACAAAGAGAAGCAAAGGAAAAAGTTCACATCAATAGAAAGTTCATGACACCAATTGAGGAAATTGAATACATTGCATGGTTTCTTTTTGGTTGTATGCTATGTTTTTACACTGGAAAATCAAATCCACAGTGTGAATAAAACAAGACATCATATGTCAAGTGCAATAAAGAGAGTAACTGACGCTGCAAGGTTTTACCACACAGAAGTGTAACATTGCATGTTCCACACAAATTATATATTCAGTTTACAGCACAAGAGTTTTGGCACAGGCACTGTGCTCACCGTTTTCTCAGAAGGGAGAATGATTATTTTGAAAATATTTCTATTCAAATTTCATCTGTTCACACCTGAAGTGTAAGTGGCATCAATTTCTATAATTCAATACAAAACTTTTTCAGTAGTGCAAAAGCAAGAAATGCAGTGGACTATATCTGACTTTCAAAGGCATATGGATAGTTAGCACACGATACAAAATGTTTAAAGAAGATTGTTGGTTCTACATTTTCAAAATTAAATCTTCACACATCAGAAACCTCTGTGCAGATTTTACAGTGTACACCAAGTCGAAGTCTGGGGAAAAGGAGAAAGGATTCTCCTCCAGATTCCTACTAGTGCATATTAAGGGCTGTGAAAATTAGTAAATGAACTTATCTTTTTACCTGAACGTTCTACATAGGACTGTAGTCAAAACCTCTGTCAAGTTAGAGGTCCTATTGAAAACCTGTAAAAGCTGCCTGATTACAGAAAAAGACACTACAGTACTCAAGACACAGTGACTGCTACATACTCAGTAGCAGTAAGCACACTACAGATTTACTACTACTGCTGAGAGCAAAATGACTTGTTATTGCAACAAATATTTAATTCTTAATAACTGTTTCAACATCTAGAAGGAGAGGAAATCAACATCTAACAGAATTGCTCAAACGATAAAGAAATGACAAGTCAAACACGACTGTGAGACAAGGAGCTACTCCAGACCTCCCCTCCCCAAAGCCCTCCATAGCTAGATGGGACAAACTCCAGGCCAGGCCTCCAGCCAGTGGGGATGCACCACCTACACCCCATACCTCCAAGGAATTACTGGGAGTCACAAAACTGGTCAAATTAAGTCACAAAAATGACCAGATTAAGAGTTTTACGCCATTAATTCCTCCCCTGTTTTTTTCCCCAACGCTGAAGGAAAAGAAACAGAGTTGGGAGTTAGGACATCCTGTCTTGGTCCCAGCTCACTCTGTATCTTTAAGCGAGCCAACAGACAATCCTCACCATTCTTCTCTTGAGCCACCCTAGTAAATGTTGGCAGAACAACAGCCTGGTGAAAATGAGAAGCTGAGGCCCAGTTCTTGCATTTCCCCTCTGTCAAGTACAGCAACACCTCTGGGGTTTGATTAATGCTTTCCTAAGCTGGCACAGCAAGTGGCTGTGGGCTTCTGTGCTGCTGACATGGGTAGAAAAACAGGCCAGATTGCACGGCAGAGCAAAATCAGGTCTGGAAGATGAAAATATTATGACCTCCTCCAAACAACACACCTGCCCACCAGAGATGCTTCCAAAATCTTTATCTAGCTAGGAGTTTGTCAGAGGCAGAAACAACACAGCTGATTCTCACATACAATTTTTGGCTTGTAAACTGCAGACATCTGTTATAAAAGCCATCACAGAAAGTAAAAATTCAATCAATATCGTTTTTTTCTTATAAGCATAGCCAATATCCTAAGTATAACACTGTGATGATAGAACTGCACCAACAGAGCCTATCATATGTTATCTGTCATATCTTAACTTTCTTAACAATTCAGAGATCTTTGCTACTTCAAGCACAAAGCAAGTTGTTTTAAGAGAATCTAAATTTTTTCTTAATACAGCTAAACTTGCTTTGAGAAGCAAAGTGTGGAGAAGGTAAAGAATAAAACTTTTTCTTTCTTCTTTTTTTTTTTTTTTTTTCCCAATAAAAAGAACTGGAACTAAATAAATAGTCAAAACTCCTAGGGGCATGTTACCAAATTCTGATAATATTCTGCTGAAATAAGATACACGCATGGGTAATAAGTATAAAAATTTGGAAAGAGACCCAAATTTGGGTATTTTTTAACTAAGAATTCCTGTAGTGTACTACTCAAGGACTATTTTTAATTCTGTAAACACTAAGGAGTGAATGTAAAAATTCAATTAAAACTTACACAAATATAAATATGCATAAAGTGCTCTGAGAGTGTCAGATCCTAAAAAAAGTGCAAAACATCAGTGCTAGGGACAAGTAATTTCTGAACGCTGATCATACTGAACAAAATTTTGTTTTCAGTTAAAGCTGTACAACACTACACTGCATATGTGGTACAATAATCTCTGCGCAACGACACACATCCTAAGTGTACATACTAGATCAAATTTTCCTGTGTGCAATGTGGAAGTTAAAAAAAATAATATAACTGCTCTGGGTGTTAGCAGACAAACTTAGAGTGCAAATCTGCACTGGAAATAGCCTATTTGTTCTTATTTCCAGTTTATTCTTTCAGTATCTCTTCTCTCTAAAGTCACATTGCTTTGATGGACCTAAAATGCCATCCCTACCTGTGACTGAGGAGCATGTCGCCTCCAGGATACTGAGTAAGCTTATCACATCACGTATATTACAATTCAGACATGAAAAAGCCTCCTGATGCATGAGGGTTCACTTCAAGCCAATGAACCTGCAACTGTTAGGAAGAAGGGGAATGAGGAATGATATCCTACTTGAAAGGAAGCATTCTGGAGGGCCTAGACTGGTGAAAACTGAGTGGAGCACGCCAGCTCTGGCCGAAGCACTCACTGCCTCGCAGGCTACCAGACCAGTGCTGGGGTTTCAGAATAAAACAATTCTGTCTCACATTGCAAAGAAGTGCCCCACTCATACTCTGGGAAAACTCCTTCAAAGAACTTTCTCTTTTGTTGTTTGAACATGTAATGATTTCAGGCCTGCTGCTATCTAATGTATCCATTTTTCTCTAAGCAATCTACAAAAATACTCATGTAATACATAGGTTAGAGCTGTGTAACAGACAAGCCTATAATTAAAGAAGCCACTCAAAAACAGAAGTTTTCATAAAAGAAACCCCTCCAGTAATAGAGAATGGAATTTTGACAACTTATTCCCACTGTAGCTGAACTAGACAGTAACATTTGTCTTTTGAAATGCTGTCCTTCTTCCTTGGGCAAGTGTTTTACATCAGCTTCCTTCCTAACCTGCATTTGTGTTTGTGCCAGTTTCCCTCCCTCCTCCTGCATTACTGCTAAAGGGGTCATCAGGAGAAAAATACTCACTGCTCTCAACACAAGTGCCTGGCAGGCAATTATTGCAGCAGATTGTTACATGCCGAGTTTTATGGAAAGTCATAACAGTAGTGGCAATGCTTTAAAAGTGATTTAGCTGCAAAAAAAAAACAGATACTCAGGGACCTGTAAATATTCCTCATATAACTGCCACCACTGAGAATTTCACATAGGCCACAGAAGTAGGGTCCAAGCTGAAATGTCACCATGACTTTTCCTTGTCCTTTTGTAAGGATAGCACAAAACAGTGCTAAAAGGATAGCACAAAACAGAGATGCAACAGAATCAAAATTTGCTAACACCCATTTTTACTCTCAGGTACCAGAGTAAGTACATCAAAGTTAATGAGGCTTCCTGGATTTACATCAACATAACTGAAAATTAGCTTCTAGATCACAATGTCTGATAATGGATGCAGAAGTCTGATTGCAGTTCGCTTTGCTCGAGTGAATTATATACACATGCACACACACGCAAGGGGAAAAGCATTTATACAAACCATCTACTAATAGGGATTATCTGGATTCTGCTGCTATTTGGTTTTTAAACTGTATATTTAGCTTACCCTTTTATTTCTCTCAGCTAAGCTTCTCTTTTCCTAGAAACGTATTTGTGACTTCCCATAACCTCACCTTGAAAAAGCTTTAAAATAGAAACACAGCAAACCCCTTCACTGCAACAGTGAGAAAGATTGGATTGCAGAGAACAGCAAATCTGAAAGCACAAGTATATTCATATGATTGACAATTAAAGGGGTAAAGATAGTGACAAACAAACAAACAAACAAAAAAAAAAAGAAAAATTTGCAGTACATTAATTGCATTAAAGGCATTGAAGTTTCCCCCAGTGTTTTCAGTTCTTTAGTTTATCAAGCCATAGTTTCTGTAATCAGGCATCAAGAATTACAGACATAATCATAGTTCTTAATAGTAATCCCAATTACTTTGGAAGTTTAGTACCAAATTTCATCAAAACAGAAATAAGTCAACACAATCTAAACAAGAACAATGTCTTCCTACACACAAACATGCTCGGCCTGGAAAGTGTCTCACTTTTTTTCTTTTACAGGATTTGAACAGACCAAACTGACAGGATTCTTGTTCTTAAACTTTATTGTTTTGCTTTGCTAAAACCGATTTCAGATTTAATTCTGTAACTGATTTCATTCGCTGCTATCATCTGTGTCATCAAAATCATCATCATCATCATCGTCATCTGACCAGTCGAATTCACTGAAACCCAAAGCCATGTTGATTTTCTTTCCTTTTCTCATAGAGGTGGTTTTAGAAGAATTCTTTTTGGCTTGCATGTTTATCTGCATTCCAGAACGCAGGACAGATCCTGCTTGGTTCAGAGAGAAGACATCCCCAAAGCCCGTCATCATCAAGGCCTTCAGACTTTGGTTCATGCCAGCTACCTCCCCGTTACTTGTTGCTGTGATCTGACATGACATCTCTGCACTCTTTGACTCCTCTGTTTTAGATTCAAAGTAAGACTCCTCAGACATTCTTGCAGCAAGAGGTAAGAGAAACTATTTGAAGGAGGAAAGGACAGAGCAAAAGTGAAAGTTAGAACCAATTTAAAAATCAAGGAAAAAGACACCACCAGATTAGTTGGCAATAAACAGAGCATAATGATTAGTGAATCTAAACATGGAGTTCAAGAATTCATTACAACTGCTTAATTCTGTGCTCACTGTTCTCAAAAGGAAGCGCAACATCACAGAATCACATGGCAAGAATTACAGGTAGCAAAGCTTTCATGATCAAAGGAGGTTCAGGCTCTTCAATCCTTCATTTTGTACAGCATAAAACAGATTGTGATGCTTTCTAGCCAGGTCAACTCATCCTGGGTCACAACATAAGTCTGAGTTAGTTGATTAACTGAACCTTTCAGGATTGAAGAATGAATCATATTAAGATTAGAGAACCCAAAAAAGTTCCTGAAGTTTGGTGCAGAAGAAGCAGCCCTCAAAAATATTAGAAATAACAGCAGCAGTATTATTTGTGCAAAGACTCTTTTTGAGCATATACTCAAAAGAAGAAAGGGTCATCCTGCTACGGCTACAGTCAGAAACAAGCCTCTCACCAATTCCAAGGAGACAGGAACCACCCTGAGCCTTTGCCAGCACACTGCTTCTGGAAGCTGTTCCAGGGAGAAGCAGGCATGGGAAGAGGGGGCTGCTTGGTCAGATTCTACAGGTTGATTGGCTTTTTTTTTTTTTCTCTAAATCTTTTCAGTGGTATAAAATTCTAGATATCTCCCATTTGGTGGCACGTGATATTAAATCTCTACTGATTAAATCTTCATCTACATAAAATTGTGTTTTCTTGTGTCAGTCTGCAATTACAGAGTTTTAGAAATTGAAACCATTTCCAGCTAAATAACAATGCCTCTTCAGAGTGCCACAGCAAGTAACTTCAGTGAAACACCTGCCTATTTTTCACAGGGAGCAAAACCTCAGGTGTATGGACCTAAATTAAGCTACCAACTAAAGCAAGAGCAAAGGGGCTGGATGCGAACAGCTGAAATGGCCTTTCTTTTCAAAGTTGCCCCAAAAATGACCTGCCCCAAAGTCTTTTTTTCTACATCTTTCTTAAGTCAATCAGAAAACTGACTGAAGCATTGACAACAGTTGATCGCAACAGGTTATGAGTGGTGCCATGGCCTGCTACACAGGAGGCTTCATGGCCAGGCTGCTCAAAGAGTGGCCATTTCTTTTCAAAACCACTTTCATTAACTAACTGTCTATGATTTAAAAAGGAGAATATCTCTTTTGTTTCTTTCAGGTTTTTCCTACTTACATAGTCTTTCCATTTGCATTGTGGTGGCAAAAGTCAGTGTTTGTTGTTTAAGAAATGAAAGTAAAATTAACAAGTTGGAGAGATGGGGAGTTCTTAACACTCTTCTTGTGTCCTATGTCCGTCTACACGATCCCCAGCTAAGCCTGCATACATCTGGCTGTACAGGAAAAGATGATCACCAGAACACTACTTAAACCAAGAACACCAATAGCTCCTAGAGAAGGAGAAAATAATTAGCTCCTACTAATATAGAGGAAAAACAAGAAATAACCACAGAAACAAGATGCTCAGCACACTGATTTAGTGCCAGGTAGTTCTTTAATCAGCTATCAGAGTTTTAATCGCTTAAGAACCATGGAAATGCATCCCCTGAAACGTGGGAAGAAACTCTTTCATAATCAACAAAGCAGAAGAACTCTGCTCTAAAACATATTTCTGTGTCACTGTGCAATGTTTGGCAATAGGTTAAGCTGCTAGTAGGCCACAGCTGTGGTACATTTTGTGGGTTATAAAAACCTAACTTCCTCCATTTTACCACCTCTAGTTATTTTGAAAGCTTAGGAGTTCTTTGTGACAACACCTGCATTTGTTGTCACATTACATGATGATGGTGACCATCATCAAGGCCTTTTATAGATTGCTGGGATCCTCTATCTCCATACAAGTCACAGTTCTTAAATGATGACCTACAGGTGCACCGCACCACAAGTGAATCTTCAGACTTCATGTCTTGCTTACTGTCCTCCTCTATATGAAATTCGGCTTAGCTACACTGACCTCCCTTGTTGAGCCAGGTCATCTTTCACAAGAGAGCTGTGGACGTATTTTACTCCTGCAAAAGGCTCCATATTCCCTTGTGCAAGACACTCTGCACAAGGGAAATTTGCTGGGATAAGACTTGGAGGTGCCTGTTACATAAGTCACAGCAGAAACAGTCAAAATGAGAGCAGGGAGAAATCCTACTGTCTTACAAACACTGAAGTGTTTGTAAGGCTTCGCCTTATCTCTCTCTCATGCTGATGCGCACAAAGACATGTTTTATTCTTTGGAATAGGTACAGTCTTCTGCTAGTCAGAACTACCTACCATGTGGGATTCCAGGATGAAGCTTCTACCAACTCTGTGGCAGACTCAGCTTCCCTGTTTCCCTTTCACTTGGTTTGAGTTTCTCCTCCCGCACACCACTTTAAAAGTGTCTGCTGGCCTCCTGTCTTTGCTGCAGAGCAAAATGAAGAAGTGACTGCAGAGTGCACAGCAGGGACAACAGTACCATTTGAGACACAACAGGGCCTAGAGATGGCTAAAAACCAAGCACAAGCCTAGTGGGCACTCTAAGCTGTGTTATTAGCTCCACGTTGCATGTCTTCACAACTGTTCTTACAGCCAAGGTAGCTTAAAATCAAGCAGTGCACCTCTCTGCTGCAATCATATGGTTTGGCATTGCTATGCAGACATACCCTGAACTGAGGGACGAAGGGAGACACCTGACTCCAAGGATTACAACTTGCAGAGAGAATGCCCAGGGATGTTTTCCAAATGATATATAGCTATGAATTTAAGAGAGAGTTGAAATTCTACATGGCACTGGTTACAAATACATTCGCTATGAAGAAACCGATCCTGCCAGAACAAGTCAATTTTTGTCAATATGTAATTTTTTTTTTCCAAGAAAAGGACTTTTTTTCTTTTTCGTTTTTAAAGCTGTTCCATGCAACAGTTCACTAGAGATCTATGGAAAAAAAAAATATCTATTTTTCTGTTAGAAGAAATTGCACTTAAATGCAATAGAAGAGTTGGGTTAATATTATGCAGAAAAGATAGTAGTTCATGCTCAGCACAACAGGCCATAGCACAATGCTTTATACTTTCAGCAATGCCAGCTACAAGTAAAAAGTAGAAGTCATAAGCAGGTAGAGCATAAAAACCCTACCGCCTTGCTTGCAAAAAGATTTGCTCATTAAAGCTGTGTCTCATGCTGTGAGCAAGACAGACGACAGTCCACAGCTCCGTTACTAGATGTTTGCAAGCATTAAAGCAGACATAGGGATATCTATTAAGAACACACAGTTTATCTGCACACGTGAAAACATTCATTCTTCATTGTTTCTTTACATGGTCACAGCTGGAACATGAATGCAACTTCATTCAAACAATAGGAGTAAGCTCTGCCTTAAACACAAGTTGTATGTAAATGGCTCTGATCAGAATCAGTGATATAAGTGAGATAAAATTGTGTGTAAGTATATAATATGCTACTGCAAACTCAATTTCATACCTCTTTTGGCTAGTACTTTAAAAACAAGTGGGTTGATAGCAGTATTTTTCTTAACAACAATTCCGTCATAGTATGCTTTTATTCAGGCACTAACCCTGTAGTTGTCCTTCTGCCAATCAGTCACTGACGATATCATACTTCATTAAGAAATTCAAGATGATACAAAGGATTTTTTTGTTCAATTTATTAATAAGAATGCGGAGGTCCCAACGGCTAACAACCAGCCAGCATGAGCACATTAACTCTAACTATGTACAAAGTCCCAAATTAACAGCTCTAATTTTGACCTTCTTCCATGGCATGGAAATTTGCTTCTTCTCATAGTAAAAGAATATTAAAAAAAAAATACATAGGTCTCTCAAGCTTTCTTCTGCAACAAACAATCTTACTTTTAAGACCAAATGCTGTGTCCATTTAAAGTCAACAACTTTCTAGTTGAAAATGACTTTACTGAATGCAATCAAATTTTAAAGGTGAGAACTGTAATTAAATCAATGGGAAACTACTCAAAAGCCCAGGGCACAAAATGAACTAGGCAATATCTGATATCCAATGTATTACATGAATTTTTTTAAACTAATATAGTTATTTGAAGTGATGTTACGAAATAGACCCAACACAACACAAAGAAAACTGGAGCACTAGTCCCTTGGTGTATCTCTAGATTTACATAGGCAAAGCTCGAAATGCTTTCTGAAGTAAAATGAAAGGATGTATTATTGTCTACTTACAGGAGTATTGGACTGTTCAGTTAACTTCTGCTCCCACATCTTCAGACGTCGCTCCCGTTCCTTTAGTTCCTGCTCTTTAAAGCTCAGATCACGCTCCAGTTTCTTTAGTCTCTCTAAGGTTGCCTCAATTTCACATCTGCACGGAGACAATTTGTTACGTCTTGTCTTTTCTTGACAGATATAAATTGTTCATTATTCCCACTTGAATGTTAATTAAATGTGAAAGGCTGAGAAGTACAATACTAACTCAAGCAGTTCATTTAATTACCAAATGCAAAGCCTTTCAGAGCTTTAAGTACAACTGGTAATGTTTGTACTTCAGAATAACTATAAACCTCCAACTGAAGAAAAACAGAATTTTAAAAAGAGTAGGAATGCCATATTATAATAAAATTCTAAAAACTAAAATGCCATTTTTCCAGGAAATATATTATTCATAAAGTAACTATATTAAGTAAAGATAATGGGACAATCATTAGCAATACAATGCGAGTAGTCTGGAGAAGCCCATTTACCTAGTTTTATAAAATGGCCATAAATTTTACTTGACTCAAGATTTCAGTATTTTTGCTGCTAACCTTCCTGTTTCTCTAGATCAAGATAAGAGCATGTAAATACAAGCAAGAATATAAAGCATATGATCCAGCCCTCCAAATGGTCACCAGCTTCTCAAGTTAGGAATAGTTAATTAAAGGATTTGGTTTACATTTTTTTCTGCTTTTTTTTTACCACACAAGCAAAGGTGAGAAAAACAAGAAAGACAGGAAGCAAAGGCTGTATTCTGAGGAGCTTAGATACGGTCTCTGTTGGGTTGCATTGCATGTACTTCATCCTTTAAACAAGTGGTTTCCTTTGACATGCTTTCTAATAGTATCTTTTAAGTGTGTTCATGAACTGGACTGCTTCTGGAAAAGAATTTAACAAGCTCTGCACTGCAAAGGCATGGGTGTGTATTAGAACACACGGAAAAATAATTTCATCAGTAAATGCAGCTACATTTTTTTGCTTGTAAGATAACCAAAGAAAAAAATTCCATCAGATGCTTCATTTGTATTGAAGTTATTTAGCAAACAGTTACTTCAGTTACTTCCCATTCAAATTGTGACAACAGTCCATCACAGTGTCCTGGTTTTGCTCCTAAAAAAGAGTCAACTCCTAATGAGACAGATCCTGAAGAGAGCTCTTAAGATAGCTAGGGAGACTTGGCAATGCCAAACACTTCTGTTCAAACTTTCATAATATTTTCTTCTGTTAACATACTGCAGAAAATCTGTCCCTTCTGATATTTACAATAAAAAAAAAATAGAAGGTCTAGCACAATGTTAGCTGTCATTTCTGTTTGGTAAAAAATAAAGTGCTTTTTTCTCTGTCTTAATACAGAGCTCTTCTCCTCTATCAAACTAAAGGAGTTCAGGCTCTTAATGTGGGAAAGTACGTACCAAAAGAGCCTACTTAAGTAAATGAGAGAATTTAAATATCCTAAATTCTGCATATGCTCTACTTTATTAAGAAATCCCTGTCAGAGAGCAGTGCTCACAGAAGTCCAGTGAAAAGACACAGAGTGTGAATAAGTAGCAAACTACTGCAAACTCTACCACCACGCTTAATTCCACTGCAAAAATCAGCCGCCTGGGGCAAGGGCATTTATTCCACTTAAACCATGCTGAGTGAGCTGCTCAGTGTGGTGGTCAGAACAAACGTCCCTCACAATTATTATGCTTCAGATTTTAAGAAAAATTCTCTCTTTTTTAGGCATGTAAAGGTCAGGGCTGATCTCTGTGATGGGTGGAAAGTCATCATATATCCTAATAAACAGCAAATTCAACGTTTGTTTTAAAATGCCTAGAAAATACTGAAAGCAATGCTCCAGGCAGATCTTCTGATACATACCTTAGTCAGAATTCTGACTAAATCTTGTGATTCTCTAAAGGAATGAAATTGAAAAGCGCTGCACAGAGGGTCAGAAAGCAAGTCTTTTCCTACCATTCTTTTCCTTGTCACAAACCCTTCCTGGTCAGCGCAACACGTACGCCTCAATCTACTGCAGCAACTACAGAGCCATTACAGGATTGCTGCACACTACTTTTCTTAGTAGTCTTCTCAACATCACTGCTACATACGTGCAACTCTGTAATTTTTTAAATATGTAAATTAAGGCTCTCTTTTAGATAACATTCTACACTAGCAATGTCTTGGTAACAATAGCTTTCTATATGTCAAAAGTCTATTTTGTGCTGCAATTACCTCTCTTCATTAACTAGAAACTTCTCTTACAATAAAAGGTCAGTCTGCAAAAACAGTTGCACTCTGGAAAATAATTCCACTGTATAATAAAACTGTGTAATTAAAAGAGAAAGCTACCGTACATTGCCCAGTTAATGAGTCTTCCTTCATAAATGAAGCAGCTTGAAACATTATGCATTGCAGGGAGCGTATATTTGTTTGCTTCTACAGTTTCAGCTTGCTTGCTTTCTAGAATAATCTCATTCTGTGACACTGAAGAATGTGTACGCTGTTACTAGAAATTATAATGATAAACAGCCACAGATTAAAAACAATGAGTGGTATTTGTTTGTATGTCTTGAATTGTTACTGATACACTAATATAGGTATCACTAATAGACTGCTTTAAATCATTTGAACAGTTGCTTGTAGGGAGAGGATGCAAGTTCAAGAAATGCAGTTACCACACACGGCTAAATGCAGACAGATGCGATCTCTCACTGAATTGGAACACCATTACTTCAACACCAATTTTTTCCTACCATAATAAAAGTGACTTGGGAAAGAGCTCCAAAGATATGACAGAACATGAATTTAAACATCGGGCAGATCTGTGCAACTTAGTCATAGGACAGTGTGTCAGTGGTGCCTTATGTGAGGTGTAGAACAGTTAGGAAATAAAATAAGGACATTATTGAACAGGGAGATTGAATCATTATTAATATAAACGTGAATACCATTACATTTTGCCAGTAAGACCACATTAAAGAAATGATAAATTACATTTTGACCTTTCACCTGCACCAGTTGTGCATGGATTCAGCACATTCTACTTTCTTGCCAGCTGGTCAAAGAACAAATTACAGAGTTGGGAAACAGTGCGACCCAACTTGTCCCAGCTTTGATTCACTTTGGTAAGTGCAGCATCATCATGAAAGTGCAGTATCTGGGTTACTAATATGGAGGTTAAGCATGACCTTTACTTTTCCCAGCTCCGTCGTTCTCCAGTGCTCTGATGGCCAGGCTTTATTAAAAATTCCTATTTCTTGGTAACATATCCAATTCTTATCCCATTGTTATTTCTTTGCAAATGATGATGGGATAGTAAATAAATGAATAAATAAAGCCATGAGTAAAAGGTAAGATTTTTCAATGCAGAAGATAAATTTTTGCACAGCTCTTCTCAGAAATGGTCTTAGTCTGTTTTGGTTTAACCTTTGGGATCACTGTATGCATACAAGTCTTTAATCTGCTTTAACTTGCTTTTTTTTTTTTTTTTGCATACTGTCTATTAATTTGTTTTAACCTTCCAGTGTTCTCCATGCAGACATGACTTCCACCTCAATTACCAGAATTCACGTACAAAAGAGCCACTCTTATCTCAGTGTCTGAACGAGTCCCCATGCAATTTGTGCACTTTTTGCAGTTGTGTTTTCATTTTAGCTTAATTCAGAAGTCATCTTTGCTTTCAGGCAAATCATGCCCAATCCCAAATTCATCTTTTCTCTCTCATATCTCCTTGTCTCCATGTTATTTGTACTTCCAGAAACCAAATTTGCCAAGTTTATGATTAACACAACTCTCCATCGTTAAGAAATGTTGGCATGACTTCACAGAAGATTTTTGCTCCTACATTGCTTTCCTTTAAGACCTTGTCAATTCCTAATGCAGCAGCTTAGGTGCAACAAAATAACTTTTTTGGTGAAAACTTGAATATTTGGCCACACTCCAAAAAATGAATCAACTACACAAAGTTTGCTGACAACTACAACATCTTTTATTCTGCTGTCTTGGTAAGAACTAAGTAAATACTTGTTTTTGCTAAAGGATTTTGAGTACTCGCTCATCATTAAAATGAGGTTTCGTTTCCACAAACCCATTCTGGGAAATGTCATTTTACTGGCTGCTTCTGCGAGATCATCAGCTTCCTTAGTTTAGACAACGAGCCTTGAAATACAGAACTGGGGGAAGACAGTGACATTTTGCAAAAGCCGTGGCAAGGCCGGAACCATTCAGCACTACAGCGAGGCCAGTGCAAGTGCGAGCAAGCACCGAGGCAGCGGGCCGGGCCGGCAGGTCGGGGCCGGGCCGGCAGGTCGGGGCCGGGCCGGCGGCGGGCACAGGGCGCTGGGCCGCCAGCAGGTGTCGCGCTGCCGCCGCCGGTGCTGGCGGTGCGGGGGCCGCGGCAGCGCGCTGCTGAGTCAGGGCGGGAGCCGTCCCGGCTATTTATACCGCTGCCATGTGACCGGGGAAGCGTCCCGGCTCCCAGTCACTTTTTCCACTCCTTCCAATTAAAAGCACAAGTCTCGATTTTACTGGGAAGTCCGCGAATGGGATACGGGATTCGGGTTTTGCTTCAAGGTTTCCGCGCTCCCGTCTCCGTGCTCTGCGGGCTCCTGCCGCGGCACGGTGCAGGCGGGGCACCTTTAATAGCTCTGCTCCCCGCTCACCTGGAGGGGGGCCAAGCTGCTTAATATAGACCGCGTGCAGTCTGGTAAAAGTCTTCTGCCTGTGCGGATCTGTTTTCAATTTGCTTTTCCAAACACAGGATGTACTGTGAGGGTGCAGGCTTTCCAACTGACAAATGTGCTCTGGGGACATTTTTTGAGGCACACCGCTAAAACAGGCTGACACTTTTACTGTAAAAATGGGGCTTGTACTGCTATTTTCTCAAATCTCATCTCCATTTATAATCATGCTTGACTAGAAATTATGATTGGCAATAGATAAAATTCCACATTCCTGCAAATGCATTTTGCAAAAGCAGGGCTGGCCTGGATGCAGGGGTACAACTGTGACAAAACACAAGTGAAGACAAATAAAGGCTTAACTTGAAAGATTATTTCTTTATGTCTTTTTTTTTTCTAAAATAAACACATACTGTCTATACGTTTCCTGTCAAACCTGCATCAAACAGTACATACACCTGAGTTGTTTGGCCCTCACTATTCACTGAAAACATGTTGCTGGTTTTAAGATGTGAATCACAAAACCATAAATAACCAAAACCAATGCAGTAATAAACATAGTTTACAGCTAAGTGTATTGGCTCCTAATACAAGTTACACAACATTCTGAGCATTCCTGAAAAACAACAAGGTAAATCGTGTTCTAAAAATAGAAATTTTTCTGCCAATACCTCATCAGTGCCTGATGTCCATCTGAAAACAGTGTGGACTTGCACCACTAAAAAGGAAAACCATGTCATTTCATCCTGGGAGGCAGGAAGCTTACCTCCACTCCGCCTTGTTATGCAGGAATGAGTTGCACTGGTCTGGAAGGTTGCTGTCGTTTGACATGGATTCCAGAATTGAAATTATCTGCTTGAAAGATGGCCTTTTCTGAGGAGAAAAATAAAAAATAAAAATCAGCATTTGCATTCATATATGACTATTACTATGCAATGTCATTCGTTCAACTGAAAGTGATGGACTACAAGCAACTGAAATTGGGGTACTACTTTCTGACAGAGCATCTACATCAGGAGTGTAAAGTTTTAATTTTTTTTTTTTTTTGTATGCTTTTCTTTTTAATTATTTGTTCAACTGAAGAAATTTTCAGTTTGGAAAGAGTCACATAAGCCAGTAAGACTCCAGCCTTTGCTTATTCTCCTGTATCTACCTAAATAACCATTTGCTACTTCCTGGATAGCAATTAAAACATTAAACAACATTAGTAATAATAATAACTATAAAGCACAACCACCCTCGCCACTTAGGGAGAGCAGTCACAGCTTCTCTGCGTTTTATGCTTCCCCTATAGTCCCAAAAAGAAGCTATGAAGTGGGAGAGTAACTGAAAAAGCCACAGTAAAACGTGTTTCTTGAAAGAATGCTGACTCTGTTAGTCTGTTTGACAGACTCCAGACAAAGTTGAGACAAAAGGTTGAAACAAAATGTAGATATATAATAAGGGAATGATGCGCATTCTCTCTGTATCTCGCCTCTAATTATACCATTCCTGCTAAAATTACAGATGCCGCAATTAAAACGTGCATTTTAATTTGGGAGCACAAAAACAATTAGGAACAATGCTGAGGTGTCTCTCCTGGGAAGATCCAAGTGATTTCCACATTATAAAAGAAGACAATTTCTTTATTTTAAATGTCAAACAGCATGAAAAAGTGTCAAATGCATAACAAAAAAAAGACAAGCTCTCTTATATTGTAATGCTGCAGTGACTGGAGGCTTTGTCTGTTGCTTTTTGGTCCATTTCCATGAATTTGGGCAAATGGGCAGTGGAGTGAGCTATGCAGGTTTCTTTGTGGCACCTGCCCCAATTACTCATGCCTGTACAGTCTGGCCTCCAGCCCACCACTCAACAAACCTTTCAGCAGCACAGTGTGCACTTGTTACTGTGCTCCCAGTGCAGAAGCCCAGTGGGGACCCTTGCCCACAGAAATGGGATTACAGAGGGGCAGGGAAGGCAGCAGCCCCATGCATGCATGATGCTTCTGGACCCAAGGACACCAAATGAACATAATCAGCACTGCCATCAGGCCTGGCTAGAAAAATTGGACTTAAGAATAGCAATGACAAGAGATTAGGGCTTTTAGCAAGGAAGGCTGAAGCACCAATAGACTGACTGGGAGCAGCAACAACACACACTGTTGGACCTACACAGAACAGGACCAAGCTGGTATGCAGCAAATCTTTACAGGCTGAAAACGAGCTGTTGTGTTGTAGGACTGCAGCTAGAACAACCGTACAGTCACAGTACAGACAAAGCTTCTCTGGCTGTGCAGTTTCTGTGAACAGCTGTCAGCTATCCTGCCAGCTTTACAGACGCCAGACATACAGGTAATAGCTTTTTCTGGAGGTGCAGCTAACAGCAAGACACAGGCTACACTGATATGCGTTTTTGTCAGTTTCTTTCCCCAGGGGCAATGAAGACTTCATGTTTAACACGTGCACTGTAGGTGTAGACTGATAACCTGGATAAGACTGGCAAGAGGTGATTGCTGAAGCTGGAACTCAAGCTGAGGAGCTTTATTTTTATTTAGAAAAAAAAAGTCTTATTTCCAGTGGACAGCTGCTTGGTACTTCCCAGGAAGCTAGGCATCATAAATGGTTCCTTGTAAGAGACTCAAAATATCAAGGCATGAGTCACCTTTGAAAATTGTTTCCCTTCATATCTGTGATGTATCATGCAAAAAATCTTTAAAATATATATACTTCTCCAGAAATAGTTCTGGCTAACACTTTCACTATTTCCTTCCACTTGGTATTTCTCATTAGACACATCTGCCTAAAACCAGGATATTTAAACCATATGCCTTTCCTTTATTGCTGCTTCTCTGTTCTCAAATTTCTGAGTTCCATCAAAACATTCAATGATTTGTAATCATCTCTGATGTTAAAGCGGGGATAAACTGAAGGAATAGAGGAAATTAGAAACATGAACTCACCTGTGTTTCCAAAGCAGGTGTCCCCAGTAAATGAAAGCATTAGTGATGAGCAACATTTGTACAGTTTTCTAGTACCCAAGCAAAAGTTGCTTATTTCATAGGGATTTTACATTTGGTAGTAGTTATTTAAGATACTCAATTACCAAGAAATTATTAAATAATTACTGATTTAAAGTAATTAGTAATTAGCATTTTAGTAAAATACTTTGAACCCACCAGGGACTGTTTCACCTGCACGGCTTAAACTGCATGAAGACTGAATATACATCACCTGCAGCAGCACACTATGGACGTTTTTCTCCAAGAACAAACAAATTTTTAGAAATTCAAAGCAAGTTAATAACCATGTTCATTCCCATGAGGAGGTTACAGTGTGAGCAATGTCTGACACTGCAGCTGTTTGCAGCAGCTAAGTGTACTCCTTAGCCCCACAGTAAAAGCACATCCCTCTTTTCTCAGGGCTAAGTCACAAAGATACCTCAGGCTTTCTGTGAGCTGAAATTACGCATATGAGCAATTGCTTTTGAGCAGCTGACACTCTCACTTGACCTTCAGTAAGTTGTTCATACATCTACCACTGATTTTCTTAAGCTAATCCTGGCCAAAGGGAAAGCTGCACAATGCGGCATTTTAGAGGAATGTGCTCCATCTTTTGGCTCAAGCAGGCCTCACAGCTTTTTATCAAGGCATTCTGATAGCTGTAGGAACTGATCCTTTCCCAACACGTGATCGAGTTTGTCAGTCACATGCCCAAAATGTGACCAGAGATTACTCCATTTCAGTCATGTGAACAAGGCATTTATAACTGTTTAAAAAACGAGAAGCTGAATGAAAAAAAGTAGTAAAGAGCAGACTGTCAGAAAACTTCAGCCAACCTTGTATTTGCTCTTTACACACATCAGAGATGTATCTGGGAACAACAATCCCAGAAACTCAGTTCAAACCCAGATCAATTGCTCAGGCATCCCTGTTTCCAATGTGCAGATCCCTCCCTTTCCTGCAAATACAGCAACAGACTTTCAGACTCTCCTACATCTGGCTGGAGCAATCTAAAGAGCAAGTTGGTCTAGTATGTGCAGCAATGCACACTCTAAAAGCTCCAAAAATTCTTCTGCGGCCTTTAGTAGGATGCTAATTGAGGAGTAGTTATTAATAAGGCACGTAGTTACCAATGGGAAGGGCTCTTCAATAATTACTGACCTAGAACTTAAACAGCCCTATTACAGATTCAAAGATCGAAAGCATTTTTCTCCCCTCGCCTCTATGGGGAGGAGAAAGAGGACTGTTATTAAGGGAGTAGCATTTAAACGGGCATTCATTTAGAAACCATGTTACTGATGGTCTCAAGATTCCAGATCCATTCTGTAGGAAGCAACTCCTTGCTTCAAAAATAAAATTTAACAACAACAACAACAGAAAAAGAAAAAGAAAATCTCCTTTCTCACTCTGCTCTCCTTTGACTACTTTCCAGTGATAATTCTGGCGTTAGGTCACCTAAGTGCTATAATTCATTTTGGGATTAATCTTGGAGTCTCTGAAGTAGCAGTTAACTTTCTTCAGAGTTCAAAGTAACTAAGAGGTCTTCCTGGTGCGTTTACTTGAGAAAAAATGCAAAATTTCCTATCCTTAACTGTCCTTTCCTCTCCTAAGTACCCTCATAGGCAAAACAAAATATCTCCTGACACTTGGTTTCAGAACTGGTATGCCCACAGGTTCTTTCCAGCCAGTATGTAAATACAGCAGGATGGTATCAGAGCTAATTTAAGGAAGGTAATTGCCAGGATCTACAGAAGTATTTACTGAGCAAACATAGTCTTTCATTTCTCTTTTGATTTATTCTTCTAGAGGAAAGTTAAGCAGTATACTACAGTACTTCTATTACTATACTATTACAGCATAGTTGTCATAAAGTTCGTAATTCAAAGTCCTAAGGGAAAAGACCAGGACATTTTAAAATGTTAATTTTGAATGCGTTTCTGCCATTCCTACCCATATTCTGAGGATTAATTTATTCTTTATACATTTCTAGCACAAGAAAGAAATCAAAACTAGACCTTGAAATAGTTATTTGAAACATATTATTCACAAACATTCAAGAAAGATTAACTACTGAAATAAAAACAAAATGATTTTTCACTTGATCAAAAATGGCAGCATTCTTGTTATCTCACTCTATCTACAATCTCTGTCTTCAGCAGTGAGGCAATTTAGAGTAACAACTCTTGATTAAAAGGACAGAAACACATTTAAGTATAAATACGTAAATATATATACATTTTGAAAAGACATCCCCAGATAATTTTTTTGTGAAGCAAATATTTTTGTTTGCTCAGACTTGTCCTCCAAAGACAGTTTAGCATACACAGAGAAATAAAAGGTAGAGGATATAAAATACAACAGAAATTAAATTACCTTGGAGTCAGCTTCCCAACACTGATGCATCAGTTCTGCAAAACTTCTGGGACAACTGCTTGGAATGGTTAATCTCTAAAGGAGATAGAACATACCAGTTACTAGAAACATTTCCCTTTGAGGTGCTAATAATAGATTTCCTATAAAAGCAGAGCAATTAGAAGAATGGAGACACACTCTTCTTTCATTTAAACATAATACAAAACTGACGATTGACATAAAAAAGGCTAACACTAGTAAGACGTATTATTAATTAATAGATTTATAAAGAAGGAAAGGAACAAACAAACCGATGGAGTTGCTCAAGAAAACTAGGAGACAAGGAGGTAAAAAATGAGGCAAAGATTTTAATACTAAAATATCATAGTTTGTAGAGATAACTACTGCACTGCATGATATTTAAGATGCTTATCAAAACAGGCATAACATACAGTCTGGTTTAATTCCTTTCTCTCATACAGATCTACAATACTATAGTCAATTTTGATATACCAAATGGCTGAAATACAGACTGCATTGAGTTATAAAGAGTTAACTGAAGCTCTACATGACACAAGGGACATTTCATAAGCCTGTGGTCAGAACGATTAATGAGGACATGCAGATCTCAGAGAGCACTCACAGAGCACAGTGAACTCATATAAATATTTTCTGATGACGCAAGACAAAGAGTTGCTGGTTACAGCCAGATCCACTAACTAAGAAAATTACTTTGAAGCTGGCTTGTTTCTTTTGCAGAGAGTTTTAAGCCATGAAAAGTATTTGTTCAGTGAGTCTTAAGCAACACACAGCTTAAAGACTTTGCCTCCAGATTGCAAACGCTAAAAGCAATTCCATTGTCAAATACACACATGAATACCCAAGCCTCTCCAGTTACCTGTATGTATATCCCAACAACATAACACATAAAAGGTGATCCCTTTGCTCTCACTAATGCAACTAACTTACTTCAGATGCTTCATGCTAAGTTAAAAAAAGTGGATAATAAGCAGTTCTGCAGTGCAAATGAGTCCAAATATGAGGAAATCAAGCTGGAAAAAGAGCTCCCTGTCCGACAGCAGGTGAGAACCTGAACCTGTTCAGTCTAACCTGCCAGGAAGACCTTTTGATCAGTCCTACTTTTGGAATTTCAGAAGTAAATCAAAGCAAGTTCTGTCAAATTTTGTACCATTATATTATATATATAACGTGTCCTGGAAAGTCTTACAAGCCAGAGAGTTAACAAATTCTGCTATACAAGTATTTGAATACCGTGAAAACTGGAAATATGACATACAGAGTCAGGACACTGCAGGAATTTGATTATTTTAATAATGTAAATACCATAAGGTGCAAAGCTTTCTATGCAAGAAATACACAGGAATTTGTACAATGCATAAACAAACTGTACTGGCACTTGATCTTTGGTTGAGTCATTACCCTAAAAATACGTTGCCTCATCTTTCTGCAGTATTTGTCTGTAACCCTCACAGTTCCAGGGGGTAGAAAATAAGTTGTAGTCCTCATTTACAGGTGCAGAATGTTATCTGTCATGGAATATAGAGGTAGCAGATTCCAAAGCTTTCAGATTGTAATAGAAAAGACAATTCTCATTAATAATTTTGTATGGGATTATGCCTAGTATAATGTGAATTCACTGTTTTTCTCTTCTGAATTAAAATGATAAATTCATGTACAAATTGTACCAAAATAAAAATTACATTGTGAAATTATGCAGACCCTTGGAAAGGACCCATATGAAACCTTTAAAATCCACTTTATTTCTTACGCTCCAGATTTGCAAAGTGGGACCTTTCAACCTAAGCAATTATGCTTTGGCCTAAGTCCCACAATGTTTTTAACAAGAGACTTAGAGTGAAAAGAATGAAGGCCTAGCTCAACAGTGACTCAGTTCTGTTGTGAAGTGGATCCATGCAAGTCTATTAATGTCAGTAGATAGAACTGAGAGCAGAACCTGATCCTCATACTTGCTTCAGAACATAGAAACTATGGGGGAAAAAAAAAAAAAGTAATGCATGCCAACTCTTACAAGGCATACACTGGACATGATCCCTAAGTCATGGTCAGAGAAAATAAAATCTAGATAAGCAAGTGTTAATGTTCTCAAAGCTTCCTGGCACCATTACAAAGAAGATGGTGGTAACAGGCTAGTAGTACCCTGCAGATAAATAGCTGTCTTTGAAAATCTCAACACTTAAGTTTCTCCAGCCATGAGTAAAACAGTTGTCATGTCCACATTTTGTTCATACTGTATTTTATACAGTTCCGTGCTCTGGAAAACTGCAGAGAAATGTGCATTGTATCTCTATCATCTTTCAGCATAGGACAATCTCTTTACAATGTTATCAGCATCACTTTAAACCACTTACATAAAATTGTACATAATAGAACGTAGCGCTGTTCATTGGTTCCACCTTCTTCAAACTGATATATAGGGCTTTTCCTAAACTAGGAGAAAGAGTCCCATTGTACCTCCTGCTCTGATAAACACTATAGAAGACCACGGTCATAAGCTTCAGACTGGTAATGTAGCATTTCCAACTATTCAGTATATCACAGTGTTGATTACTGGAATTAATCCAGTTCTCAAACTGAAGTTTAAAAAAAAAAGCAACGGAAACAAAAAAAGTCAACAACAAAAAATATTAAACTAAGAGGAGGAAACCTAACTCCACTATTTAACTCTGAAGCATTTTGAGAAACAGTTTATGTAGAATAATAGAAATCTGTATTACGCAGTCACTGCCTCACCATTGTAATGTTTCCCAAGCTTCCGCTGTGTCTAGATAGAGGAGGTTTCATCTTTGTGGAGGATTTCCATGCTTGTCTGTGTGTGGTACAGTCACAACTTTAAATGTTTTTTAAATGTAGTTACTCTCTTTGATATCAAGGGACTATGTGTTCAGATATACGCTCACATGTCCAACTAACTGAAAGCCTCAATTTGTGAGAAGAAGAAAAGCGAGGCTGGGGACACTGTACAAACGGTGTTTACACCACTGAAGTGCTTTTGAAATGGAAAGACTCTGCATGAGGAGGCTTGCAGCTATGCCGCAGCCTTGCCGATACCAGTGAGGAGCTCATCTTCAATGTAGTGTTGAACGTAGGTGGCAAAACTGTAATTTCTCTCTTTTTTTAAAACTATTTTTTCTTCTTTTATTTTTGAAATTTTCATCTAAGCGGCAGTTTCTTGTACTATAGTGACTCCTGCTGGGAGAGTTAAGTTGAAGTAGCTGAAGGTCTCTTACAGATATATCAACTCCCGGCCAGTAAAAAGATGTCCTAAACGCAGGAGATGGAGTTAAACTGTTCCCCTACCTTGGACGCAATGGCTTCTTTCATCACTAAGAACAAACCCCTAGGTTTTACAATTGAGACTGAGAAACTAGTACAGTACTTGTACAATTTTTGATCTACAGCATCACGACGTGAAGCTGCAACAATTAGATGTAAAGGGTCCATTCATGAGGAATAACATCACTTTGACCCTTTGTGTTAGCTCCTACTGCTAATCTTTCCATACGCGTGAACTTACTTTCAATTTGAAGAAGATGAAAAAGTCTTTTGCAAAACCCCAATACTGTTTTCTGATCTATGTACCTGAATGTAGAAACGTAGTCTTACCTCGTTTTTTTCCACTACAAGCCAAGCTACTTGTAATCCTTCCAAGCCTTTAAAGGGGACCTCCCTTGTTAGCATCTCCCAGAGAACCTGGAACAGAGAGAAAGAAAAGAATTTTTATTTCTGCACTTTGTATTTTAAATACATTATTAAACCTTGATACAGCACTATTCTGTACCCAATTATCAGGCAACCAGTTTCCATTTGCAGGAACTTGGACCAGTGTTTGTGTGCAAGATCCTCTCGCTAAATTAATTTGAATGTTTCTGATTTTTCCTCTACAGTAAAAACTGGGTTGTGTGGGGCCTAATGCCTGCAATTTTGTGAGAGCCAAAGAAAAAGCTTTTTTTTTACTTTTTTTGTACACTGTAAGGTTCATATTTGGCAGTTGAGACTTGGAAAGACAGTGAACTTCTCCTATCCTTCTCAGCCTCAGCTAGACACATCTTCGCCTTGCAGTCATCTTGCATTTAAAAATATTTCTATATGATTGCAACTAGTGCTTTTCTGTAGTCAGAATATGATCCATAAGGTATTTTACTCCTATTATATGCCTACAAAAATAGTAAATATAATTTTGCAAGCAAAATGATAATTGTCTATCTCCAAGTACATGACTATATTAAGCCATACAATATACAGCGTATCAACAATAATTCTGTTCTCCCCCTATATCTTATAGACACACTATCCTTACATACAGAAAGATGTTCTAATTTTTTAGTGTAAGAATCTTAGGTACTTTGTAGAGAGAGTTTGGCACCACTAAAATGATGCATGTCACTGAATCTAACTTGATTTCTGCCTCAAGGACTACATATTGGCATTCAATTAAATTAACAAGAACTTTGTACCTTCTCTCATGTTTGCCTCTATTTTTATCAGAATCTTCACACTTATCTCTTGTTACCAATATCTACATGGAAACTTCTTCTATTTGTATACCAAGCACAACAGCAACAAAAGATATCAATAATTTAGCATGTGACCAAATGTATTAAGATCCTTAGGCATGTCTCTATATCCTCACTGGCTGGGTTAGTGCCCAGGCTCATTGCAGCTACATCATTCTGAGTGATTCTGGCCAACTATGAAAGTAATTAGAAGAAAAACACAAGAATATTGGCAGATGCTGCTCAAGCAAAAAAAATGCACTGAAGCAGATTTGGGCCTTTAATCAGGTGAACAGGGTTCCATCAGTAGACCTATTTGAATAATTCTGCTTCAGTCAGAAAACTGATCAGTAAAGTTAAGCGCATCTTGGAAAATAAGTAAAAGAACAGTTTTCCACATATAAGAAATACATGAGGAAGGCTATTCACGGGGGCATTCAATTCTCCTGTTTTCCTCAATTCACTCTCTTCAGAAGAAAAAAACTATTTTGATTTCTAATTCCAATTATTACCTCTCTATTGGTAGAGGTAGGAAATTTAACTGCGAGAAAATGAAATAATTTAGCAGCCTGATGTACTTCAGTCCAGAAAGCGGTGTACAAAAACAAAAATGCCTGGACCAAATTAAACACAAGCTGAGCAGTCTTGTGGAACCACCTCATCTGAATGGTTCTAACAGGAAACCACAAAAAAATCCATGTTTGCACATCAGACAGAGAAGTATCTAAATACATCTCTCAAGAAAAAAACACAATCAAGTACACGTTAAATGCCTCCAAGAAGCTTGAGCTGGAAAACTCCACTGTTCTGCTGTTTTTCTTTCAGAAGACTGAATTGTCTAGTTTCATTCATGCACGCAAGGCTATGTGGAACATTTTGTACTGAATTCCTGCATCATGACACCTTTAGTGTTTATTTCCACTGCCTGTGGATCACTACTTTCCTAAATCAACAGTGATTACTTGAAACACTTCAAGATTACACATAGTTTGAGTGAACAGCAAACTCGTAAGATACAAAAATTTTTTCTTAATGCCTTGTTTTTCAGCAATAGTATAAGAAGATAAAAAACAAATCGTTGCATTTATTTATGCAAGTTTAAAGCAATCTTCTTACAACAAAGCAAAAGCTGTAGCTTAAGACTTTTCTTCTGAGGGTGACATGTAAGTATCATCAGTCTTACAAACACAGCAAATCGTATCTTCTGCGTTACCATTTGATGCTTCCAGTCCCTAGGTTCATACAGCCACAAAAAGTGCTCCTGAGTCTGACTTACCCTGATCTTGGCCTTTTTTTTTTTTTTTCCCCAAGATACACACTGATCATTTTCAGAACTAAATTCTCAGCTCACCTTATATGGAAATTAATCTGTCTTCCATTTCTGGTATAATTTAATTGGGACACTGACATGATTCACTTCCCCTCCCATCTTTGATGGTAAGGATCACCAGCTTTCCTGATCACATAACATCCCTATGACGACAGACAGCAGGTGTTCACAGTGAAATAGCCATGCCAGACACAATGATGGAAAACAAAGCAAGATCATTTAATGCAATGGTTTGTAAGCTGTGGCCTCTGAAGATGTTAGGCTCTTTGCATGCAGAGAAAAAGAGTGAGACTCAAAGATATGAATGTTCATTCCATACATAAAGCTGAGAATAAGATTGATATGTCTTCAGTTCTATCAGCTGAGCTCTGCATTTCAGTTCTCATCCTGTCAACTATGTGACAATGATCTAAAGAAAAAAAGAAAAATATAGTCCTACCCCTCAACCCCAATTCAAAACCAACAAAAGCCACAAAAGACAGGGAACATCCAAATGAGTGATTTGAAGAAGAAAAAACTAACTAACAAGCAAAAAAAAAAAAAAAAAGATTCTCCCATTCTGAAAATCTGAAAATGCTTCCTCTTGGCAGGAAAGTGTACACAGATGAGTCTCAGGAGCTACAATTATCAGAAGTATGGCATAAGCAGAAAGTGTTGTTCTCTTAGAGGTACTGCCCTTGAAAATTAGGTCAGTCTCCTCTGGATTGATCCAAGTGGAAGTTAAAGATCTCATAATTCTTTTCAAAAAGAGTAAGGGATAGCCCCTGGAGCTGGCCAACATTCTCTCTATAAATAACCTATGTCCTCATAGCTAAAGCAATGCATGAACTATTGCTAGGAGCACAACAGCTGCTACATTGAACTTCAGCCTCAGTGTACCAATAGTCAATTAATGCTTTTAATTTTTTGTTCTTGCATTTAAAAATATTCAGCTACACAGCCTTCTATGATTAAATACACTTAGATACACAAACACACTGCAGTCCACTACAAACACTTTTTCCAGGTTAACATATCCCAAGCATTTATCTTCATGATTTCAGAACAGTTTTTAGGGGGAACATTATAATTCCACATACACTTTCATATGTGGAAGAGGAGCAAAGGACCATTTTTGAGCTCTGCACACAATGACATGAGACTGTTACTGATCTGAATGGATTTGTGGGTTGAGCATTTCCAGCACTTGGTGTCTGTTGTTTAGAGTATGCATTTTGAAATGGATTAGAAAAGAGAATCAGAGCATGGCTGAAATAAAGTTCAAGATCCACGTTTGTATCATAATAAATCTGGAACATTTAGATTTAGCATTTACTATACTGCATTATAAATTAATCACTATTTATCTCGAAGAGAATAAATGAAACTGTTCATCCACCCACGAAGAGCAGGACAAACTAACATGAACATTATCTACGGACACATATGTAACTGTTTGCAACGAGGGAAGTTCATTTCAGGTGAAGAGCAACTTGGACCTATATGGTGACAGAAAGACTAATACTTCATGGACAAAATGCTCACAAAGCTTAAGCAAAACATTTAAAATCACAGACTCCATTATAGAAAGCAAAGTTAGGAAAAAAAAAGAAATAAATTAAAGAAACTTATGGGTATGGTAACAAGTACTGTGAACAGAATATCTATTCTTAGCATCTTACTAGTTTACATTTGAAATGATTCTGTTCTTTGTTAACAAGACTTTAACTGAAGAAATGCAGATTTGTCTCTCCAACACAAAAGCTGCTGGCAAGTATTACACTTCCAAAGGCGATTCTTTAAATGTTGTTTTTACAGATGATAATCACTTGCTGAGACAAAAAAAGACTCCTTTTAAGAGTTTTCAGTTGTGTTGTTGTTTTCAGTCTCCTAACAAATTCTCTGGTAGTCCAACACTTACAATAGGGAGATTCCAGCTTTCAGTGTTATTTTCAGACATTTTTCTGCTTTCTGACAGCTCCATAACATCAGTAACTTTATCAAGTGAGAATCTGGGCTGTGGCTATTCATCATTTCTCCCCTTGCATCTCCTCTGAAAACAGTGGTGTTCCAAGATGTGGCAATGGAGTTATCCAAAGATGAATTCATTCTTAAGTCTTAAGAATTCATAACCTTCTATCCCCAGTAGAGCACATTAGCTCAAAAACAACATATTAAAAATGTGGGTCAGATATTATTAGGCATATATATAGCATTATATACCTGTAACCACATTAAAATATTCTACTAACACTGAACAGCTTTCATACTGAGGGTAGTTGAGTTTTGCTCCAAGCACAGGGCTATCAAAGGAGGTTTACTTTTTGGAGGAGGAAAAATAAACTCAGTACAACATAATGTTCCTATGGCTCTGGTAATACTTGACATGATAAAATATTAAACAATTGCTTACTTTCTCCCAGTTCTAGAATATTACTTGAAGTCAATAGCACCAAGATGCTTATGAGAGTAGTTCTGAATTGTAAGATTATTTTTTAAATTTCTCCTCTAAAATTTTTTCTTTATTTTGGAATTGGAATGTTATCTTTCAGTGGATGATATGTGATTGCTTCCAGTAACAGTTTACATTAACATTTACATTTGTTAGCTTATGTTCTATGACTATTTGTGACCTAGTTCTGTTAGGCAAGCAAAGACTTTAAATCTGCCAATACAGGCTTCTCTTTCATTACAAAGTCTCAATCTTCCATTGCTAGGATATCTCACATCATCTTTTTATTTTTTTACACTATCAACAACTGTTTGACAAAAAGTTTATGTAACCTTCTATTAGGACCATCAGCTTAGCTATCCATGGTCACAGACACTAGCTTAAAGCCAACAACCTTACATCTCCATCAAGTCCTCAAAGAGGAGGCGGCAATATTTTGCAGGTACTGAAACAACTCCTCACTGCTGAATCCAAAATCAAAAAGCTATGTACGCAGATCCATACGCAGAGTAGGACCCTGCTTCCTATCTCTTTTCCTCTAACGTACTGTTGTAATAGAAAGGCTTTGGGGCCTGGCTTACAACTGGTCTGACCAGGAGAATAATTTCTAGACTATTTTACACTGCAGACACAGTGAAATAATTCACAATTGTACCTGCAAATGTGACATTCTGATGCACTGTAACTGATTATTTCCCCTTTGCATAAAAGGCAGACCCATGCTGTATTTTTAGACTGGGCCTTTACCTCCACTAGATGAAGGTTCTCTCAGCTACCCGCTAACAACAGCATGGTCTTTTAAACATGTGAGCATGGAAAAGTGGCCTCCTTTTTTATCTTAACTCAGTGACACCCTGTTTTATGGAAAGCCCTGGTATATAGCTGTTACAACTTTTCCCTCTTATTTCACTAAAACATAAGCAGAGATTAATGATGCAGATTGCTCAGTAGCTCCTGCAAGCCTTCTGACATATGCTAAATACTTGCGGTAAAGTTTGCATTTCCCACACTGGCATGCTGCTAATCTAATCAGATAAGTGTCTTATTAAGCATGCAAGACGCTGCTCTTCCTATCATTTTCAAGCACATAATTATGAATTATGGGTCAGTCTTGAAAAAGTCTGATTTTTGTTGTTGTTGTTGTCATTCAGAATTGTTTTTCTTGCATCCCATGACTTCTGTCACACTGGAGTTCTGCTTCTATGCGTAGAGAAATAAAAGGCACTCACCACTCCGTATGAGTACGTGTCACACGTCTCAGACACTGGGAGACTTTGAATAACTTCTGGGGCCATCCATGGAAAAGTACCCACTAACGACATGTGTGTTGTATGTGAATGGAACCTTGAGGCACCAAAATCACAGATCTGGCAAAGATAAACAGATAGTAGAGCATGAACCTCATTTACTAGTCATCAAAATATCGAGTCACGCAGCAGGATCACTCACATAATTAATATAATTGAAGTGTTCATACCTTTAACACGCCATCAGCAGCTATAACAACTACAAATGAAAAAACAACAAGTTACAGGAATGCTATTAAAAACGAACGCAGTACATTTTCACAGCAAAACACAATACATTTTCACAGCAAAAAGAAATCCACTTTATCAAGAAAAATGATCCAGTCGGCACAGGATGCACAAATATGCATGACTATCCTGGTTTCTTTGAGCATCTTTGAAGAACACCTGCTGAATCCATGCAAGTCTCTGAACAACTTCAAAACTTTTCAGGTCCTACTGAGCTCAAAGGTAGAAAGGCGACTATAACTAAAATGTAGATAAGCTCCATTATCCCCAAAGAAGCACTTAGGCTTAACAATTAAAAAAAAAAAAAAGGAAAAAGGAGATAAAATTTTTAAAAAATAAATAAATAGTACTATACAAATAGGGTTTTTTGTGACTATTATCACTCAGCATGCATTATTAATATCTGTACTCCTCCTGTCCCATTACTAGTTCATGCTTCATTTCAAATCAGTATTTCACAAGTTTCATTAATGGTTGTCAGCTGCCAGGTACAGTCTAAAACAGTGCTGCTCCACACTGAGTAGTCCCTGAATAAAAGCAGGCATGATAGAGACAAGATTTTCAGATTAGAAATTACAGGCCTTATCCAGTCTATTATGTCCAGTGAATAACAGTCCTTCATGGCACTCAATATTTTCAAATAGAATAACCAAGTGAGGAATGTCCAGGCAATGTCTGACAGCTGATAAAATGGACACTATCGTGGTCAGCCAGATACAACTTGAAAAGAGCCCTCCACAGTGCACTAAATTATGCCAGGACAGTAACAGAGCCAACAGTCAAGATGTAGAGAGGAGTGACACTCGAACAGGCTTTTCTGTGCCTCAGCAAAGGCCAGTGTAGCTTGATGACAGACAAGGTGTTAGTTCTGCACATTCACAAAGCTTAGGTACAGACTTGATTGCAGCAATAACAACTAAAAGGAAATACAGAACGTTTTATTGTTTTTATTGCTACTTTACCGTTCCTGGACTTCAGATCTCTGTGGATTACTTTGACTGGAGCTTCCATGTGTAAGTAGTGCATGCCTACACAAAACAAGCAACAGTCTAGTTAGGCAGGCTGAAGGTAGCCATCACTTATCAGCAGTCATGTTTTTTAGTTCCCATTTCTTGTCCCCATTACAGGCTGGCATACATACATGAAGGCCAGTTGCAGGAGAAGCAAAGGTCCCCATAAACTACTTTGAGTAAAAAGAACTAAGCTACGCTCAAAACACCTATATGGGTATGCTAATGATTTTTAACTTCATATTTAATTATTTTCTCTAATGTATTTTCTGCACGGAGAAGCTAAGATAAGAATGTACTGTTTATTAGTTTATACTATTTCCTGTATGGTCACAAGAGCACAAAGGCTCTGCATTGTTCTGAGAAGAACGTCAGCATGTTTGTGAAGAACCAGCTTCCTTAAATATACCAATTCGAATAAAATGTAAGGATAATTATGCCTTATAATTATACTACATCAAAATTATCCTCTTGGGGTTTAGGAGCAAACCAGAAGTATAAAACTAGCTCATAGAAGGCATTTTCACTCCCGAAATGATTTTGGATTCAGAATAACAAAGAAACATATTGAAAAGAACAGTGAATGGGTTTGTTTGTTGTTGCTTTTAATTACAGTTGTTTTCATTATTTTGCTTTTTCTTTTTTTGCCTTTTTTTTTTTTTTTTTGACAACTTGAAAAAAGAAGTTTAGGAAAGCTTTCCTGATCTAACAGGGAAAGTATCTCCACTTGTACATTTTGCTGCGTAAGATAGAAGACATCACTGGTCTGGTCTTACTTACCTTTAGCTATGTCAGTTGCCCAGGTCATGATATGATCCATATCCATCTCTTCACTTTTGTTACTATTAATGTAATCAAACAGTGAGCCAGCAGAAGCATACTCTATTAGAAAAATAAAATAAATAAAATAAACGCACATGACATTTTAAAACACTGCACCAAAACTAAAAACCTTAATGGAAACTCTGCCAGTTCCAAAAAGCAGCTCTTTGAAGCTTAATGAAAAAGAATTTGGGTTCAGCAACTAACACTATTAGTAACATAATAGGAGAATAATAGTCCGTTCTGACTGTCCCAACACAGACATACCTGCTGCTAAGGGAAAAGAAATGTGAAATCATCTATAACGACAGGATTTAAAATGAAAAGGCATCAGAAAGCTCTGATATAAAGAGAGCTCAGGCAAGGCAGTTCCAATTCCAGAGTGAAAGGTTCTGGTGATTATTTTCTTTTTTAAGATTTATGAGGGTCATTTCTGTTCAGAGAGAGAACGCTGTAAAAACGGTAACGCGCCGCTGAGCAATTCTGTCCACTTGTGACTTTACAGACTGTATGCAAATGGAGGCATGCTTTCACTGCTTTACATTCTCTCAGTCCAGGACAAGTCCGCACAGCTAAGAAAGCAAGATGTTTTCTTACACTCCTTGTTCAGCACCAACAGTTGATTTGCTTAACTTTTTCCACCTACACCTACACAAACCCGCAGCAGGATCCTGCAGGCAGAAGCAAAGGCTTTTTTTTCTGCCCGTCAGTGTTTGCAAGTATGACAGACAGAACACAATCTGACTTCCAGAGCTCACAGGACTATGAGCTGGAATACCAAGCTCATTACACTTAGACTTGTTTAATTGGGAAACTGGAAACAACTGAAACCCCCACAGCACTACGTTTATATAACTTGAAATTCTTCCATATTTAAACACTGAAGTTTGCCTCTTCCAGTCACAACAGCAGTTGTGAGACTGCTGATGAGATTAGAGATTGGTGGTACCAGATCTCAGGTACTGTTTCCAAAGAGGGCAGTCATCAGTGGTGAGAAGTACTGCATTTAAATTATGCCCCATAACAAAAGACAATTATTTTATTTTTTATATAGTAAAATCAAGTATTAAATATATGATATTCTGTTAAGAAAAATGGGCTTGCAAGTAGTAACTGAAGACAAAATTTTATTCTTCTACCTCTTCATGCAGGAGCAGAGAAGATCAAATCACTTATTCATTAAAAACAAAACAAAACACAGGAATGAAGGAAGAAGCTACAGGTCTAACTTTGAAGCAAAGTGGGGCAAATTTCCATGAGCAGCAGGCCATAATGCAAGCCAGCTGGTTTACAATTGAAATGCTTCATATCTGCCATTTCAAAGCAGCAACAAAATCATTCTCCTCTCAGACTACATAAAATATATCCAAATTGTTGTTCATAATAATATTAAAGAACAATACATCATAGGCTAAATGCATAAAAAGTAAACATTGCTCCTCATCAATGAAATCAAAACCACTGGGAGAGTACAGTGTGGGTCGAGACAGAATCTGCATCCTAGAATACGGTACATCATATGAGAAGATTCTATTGCTAAATGAAAGGAATGAGGGAGTAAATACAAAGTCCCTTGAAAGTAAACGCTCTAGTTGCAAGTTAGTTTTGGTTCATTGCTGCAGGACCTCCTGCTGCAAGGAGGCTCTGCAGGAGACAGGCATGTTATTTCTGATGTCACTGAAAGAGGACTAAGATGCTGACCTGCACATTTCCTCAATTAAAACATCAGCTTTTTTTACCCATGAAGTCATCATGTGTCTTATAAATGGATTCTTCAGGAATAGTCTGCCTGCATGCTTTGCATGCCTTTACAATGCATAATTCGATCCACCAGAGTCAGGGATAACTGAGATCCCCAAGCCCTTTGCTGCTCTGTATGAACAGAGGCAAGCAATCTTCAAGCGATATAGCTTGATTCTTTAGTATTTCTCCCAATATATATTCTGCCACAGGATTCTACTATGAAATTATAGATTTGGAAATTACATTGCCATGGTAATTTCTTTCAGTGATAGAAAAGAGGTATTTGCTTTAGAAAGTAATGTTGTGAATGCAGAATTGGACTCACTCTACCACTGACCGGGATACATCCTACGCATCTGCACAGATGGGACACGTTAGCACTAAAAATCTTTTGGGAGGAGGCAGCAGTGATCAAAACCTAGACCTGAAAGCTGCACACTGAGGTTGCTGTTTGCAGTCTGCAACATCTAAAACAATGTGATTCACATTAGCAGCTCAATGGGCTCAACAACCAGTTGTAACACTGATACAAAAGCTGCCCCAGAAATGTTTTAACTATGTTGGCCCTGAAAGTCAGAGGCAGACCTTGGTGGTAGAGGTTGAACTTTCCTGCCAATATTCCATTATGTTGTGTTGCCATGTGGCAGATGGCAGCAGAGGAGCAATTTGACAAAATGGCCTTTGACATGGAAGGGCGTATGGAGCAATGGTTTGTTAACGAATTCCTCTATGCGGAAAAAATGGCACCCACTGACATTCATAGACGCTTGCTGAACTTTTATAGAGACCAAATGGTAGACGTGAGCACAGTGAGTGATACATTTCAGCAGTGGTGACAGAGAAGGTATGTTCCAGACAGTCACACAGATTTTACAAGTGTGGCATACAGACTCTTGTTCATGGCAGGCAAAAATGCATAGCTAGCGGTGATGACCATACTGAAAAATAGTGTTTTGTATTCAAGAATTTACTCTATCAATTAGTGCTATTGTGCTCTTTTTATCTGTTGTAGTGGTTTCCACGGAAATAAATTGGAGGAATTACTTTTGGAGTGACCTACATACATTCCCATACATGTTTTGACTGCAGATGTAGCTTTTCTCATTTGGACAGAGCAGTCTCAGAGAACTCTCTGACAATCCCACATAAGATGTTATGTACAGCCAATACTCAGTACATGCTTGGCTGAATGCCCTCATCTCCATCATTCAGAAGAATCATTAGGTTCTTGAGATTTTTTTCTCATTTGGGTTTTTCCCTGGCAAGATATGGATCTCTGAATAAACCACAGGATTAAGACTGCTGCACTGAAAACTACCTAGAAGATCAAGGAGTAAAAACCTCTCTCAAAGATATGTCAAGCACAATTAGCATTTTTCTAAGCAGCCATTTTCTCATTTGAAAACAGCTGGAGAAATCAAGCCTTACTTCGCTTTCAGCCCGAGGAACTCAAGTCTGGAAGTTGCAGGGAGAAGCCAATGCAGTTTAAAATCAGAATATTACTTTTTCCTTTAACCAGAATAGATTCAGAGCTCTTCCAGTAACAAAGAGGTAGGACTACAGAATAGTCTCTTTCACACAGATGGTCCCCATTCCCAATGACATAATGAACTATTTCAGCTGTTCTCTGTCCAGTGATCAGCAAGTATGTCAGATGACCTTCTCCAAACACTGACCTTCTGTGAGAGCAACTGAGGACTTTCTGATCCAGACATCATTCTGGATGATCTGGTGATCACACATTTGCTTTGTTAGTCTGCTCTCTAGTTTGCACTTATTACCTTTGTATTAGAAATAATAGCTATATTACATGATTTATTATGATTTTTATTACATAAAGAAGATATTTCCTGTCTGATATGGTATCAGCAGTCTAATCTCTGAGCAGTATAGACTAAAATCATCCTTCATGCATCTCTAGAGTACTGGTGGTACTGGTTTCAAAACCGCAACATCCAGTAGGCAGTGAAACAGTTGTGCATCTCAGAAGTGCTACCACAGGATTATGCTGCCATCTACGGTGTTGACATAAGGTCTAAGAGACAGGTAGAAGTAAGTGAATTTCCACAGGTTTTGTGCACCACTGGAGGAATTTCTACAGCTGATTAGAAGCTGTGTTTTTTCCAGCACACAATCCGGGGTGGATCCCCTCCAGCAGATGCCCCTGAAGACATCTTATACCAAAATGGAACCTTGGCTAGGACAGCACTTGCAAAGGCTGACAAGCAGAAGATATTGCCTACAGTTTAGAGATACCTACACACATAAAAAACAGGTTCTGGATATCTTCATACATGCCCAGCAGATGACAGATTACAGCTATACCCACTTTGTTATCTTTGTGGTAGAGGGTGCCATGTTCTGGCAGCTGCATCTATTTTGCAACTGATGCCATCCAATAAATAGAACCATAGCACCAAATGTTGTTGCCTCTTTCGAGGCCAGCAGAATACTGAAATTGGGTGTACTCGTAAGACCAGAGTTTTACAGAGTCATAATGAAAATCAAACAAGAATCCTTACCTGTAACTATGCCATAATTTGGAGGTTCGATCACAGCTCCATAGAACTGAATGATGTTTTTGTGACTGAGCACACTGAGTATTTCTGCCTGTTGAAAACAAAAAAGGCAGACAATTAAGAATGGTGCCTTTACTGTAGTATTTTAGACTCCAGTGGAAATACACAAATATTTAACATATATACGTACGCACATACATACACACATCTAGGAAAGACTACCCACAAATGGCTGGTACCTAGAAACCTCATGTGCAAGTTTGGTAGATGGATGCTTAGCATGTTCAGAAAAAAAGATCATACTATTCCTTCACGATCAAGGCACAGATGTAGATGCTAGGTCTCTGTAAAAATCTGAAGGCCCTAGAAAATGCAGTTCAAAGACAGATCTGCAATATTTGGCAGGGCTGTAGAAGTTTAACCCAAAAATTGTGTTTGTGTACAGAGCACTGTGAGATCAGTGAGCCCAGAGCTCCAGGCAGTTGAGAGCATACTGTGCACCATACAGCTCAATCTGATGTTTACTGGAGACATGGAGTTTGCTACGCATGCACTGCAGGTCTAATCAAACATGCACAGCAAGCATGCTTGAGATTGCCAAATAGCCAGCAGTGCAGTTGAAACTGTTTTTCAGTGCAGGCTCTGATGATTAGAAGATGTTTAGAAATTCTGGATAAACATACAGAATCTTTGAATTCCACTTGAAAAATGTTTTTAGGTATGATAAAGACCAAAGGAGACTGAAAATATATCCACAGCAAATAAATCACGTAGTCCACCACTTTATGGCTTTATGAGGGAAAATAACGGGTATTATTTGAGATCTTTGTGATCTCACAGTGGTTTTGCTTTCATAGTATGTTAAAATAAATACTCAAAAGATTTTGCAAACAAATTTTTAAACAAAAGTGTGTATTGTACAAAAGGAGATAATCACAGAATCACCAAAGTTGGAGCATTACTTATAGACTTATAGGTAGGGAGTATGCTAACTTCAAACCAGTTGCGCATTTAAGAAAGAAAACATTACTGTCAGTTACTCTGAACTTAGCAAGTATCCCTTCTGTAAGAGCCTTTCTCAGATCTCCTTGACTGACTGTAAGGGTGTTGCTGTTTATCTGCAGGTGAGTCTTTGCAAATCTGCATAGAGAGCTGCCAATTACGCTACTTTGTGGCTTTCACTTCGTGTAGATTTGTTGAAAACAGAAAGACTAACAGCTTTGATGCAGCAAAGTATGTTAAAGTAGCTAGTGCTACTGTAATAAATGTAAAGACACTGCAAAACAACATAATTTTTTACCTATGTTTTATTGCTGGAACGGTGATACATGGGTAAGTAAACAACTACAGATACAAGCTTCAGATGGTTCAAATATTTTTAACTGTTCTTTTGAGTTGCTGTTTAAAGCCTCTTCTGAGTAATTTCAACAATTTTGATTTCATACCTTCACCTAATGCATGAACTCATTTAAATCTCAAACTATAGCTTTGAACTTGGGTTGCACCAGCTCCTCTGCAAGCTAGTGAAATGGTGCTACTATGAAGCGAGAGATCTCTCACAGTATCAGAAAAATAATTTTCAAAATAGATGGTGTTTTCAGCAAATCATACTGTACTAGGCCATAGGACACAACTCACCCACAAGGCAACCAAAGAACAGAACTGTCTAAGTAAATGTGGGAAGCCTCACCTGCAGATGAACACTCCCACAGGCAGTGGCAGGATGTGACGGAGGATCTGTAGGGCCAGCCAGGGCTCCGGCAGCAGCAGCTCTGCCCTCCAAGCTGCCTCCCACCAACCTTCCTACACAGCTGACCTCTCCAGCAGTGGGAATGCCTGTTTTACCAGCTGTGCCCTCCAATCTCTTTGGTAGCATCTGCTGGAATGGAGATGACAGCCTACTCATTCAAAACTCCATCTCCACATGCTAGCAGACCCAAGGCCTCTGTGCTTCAAAATCTTTTGTATTATGCTTAAATTTACTTCAAGAAATACTAAACTGAGGAATGTCCTCTAATTCCTACCAGCATTCCCACTAGATAACCAGAAGACCCAGAGTACTCCTTGACTATCTACCCGAATATTGCTATAAACAAGACAGGCACACCAGGCCCCAGTCACCCTTGGACAAGCCATTTATGCTGTATTTTCTTGAATATGTAGGTTAACAAGAATAGATTATTAACAAGAATAGATTAAAACTATCTTCTTGTATAGTACATAAAATCCATGAATTCAATACACTGTGCACACCACCTGCTACCAAAATAGGCTGTTAGAAAATCAAATGACTGGCCCCACACATAACATTCCTGCAGCATTATGCATTTAGAAGCAGCACCAGACAAACCTTTTGGAGAAGGATTGCACCGCCACACGATGAGCACATGCAAGGAGGTACCAGACCCCTTGGGCACAGATTGCCTGGTGATGGGCTGCTGGGTCTCCAAAGGCCTCACTGGAGCCACAGGGCAACAGGAGGGGCTTGCACTGCTCTTAGTTCTTGAAGATTCCGAAAGAACTATTTTCAAAGATTATTTTATTTACAGTGTATTGCACACTAAGGTCACATTCTAGGAGTTGAAGAAATGCTGTGTCGACTGCAGCTATTATAATCATATTAAAAATGATGTCCAGATTCTAAACTGGGATTAACAGATGCCAAAGCAAGCTTCCATCTAAGTATGAGGAAAAGCACCTACTAATTGCACACAGATATCTCAAATTAAGAATCATAGGAAGAAAAATTGCCAACTTTTCCTAAGGACCATTACTTTTAAAATAAATCCTTTCTAAACACTTCTAATCATTCTAGGCTATCCCTTTCATGTTCTGTTCTTTTCAGTTGCTGTAGATCAGCTGTGAAATATATTAGGCAATTTAAGGACGCTTTCTCCTTGCAGTGAGAACCAGATGCAAGTCAATCCACATCTTTGAAGCTTTTGTACTTTTTGAGAAGGTAGCATATTTCAGTGAAAGACTGTAACCTTCACATAGCAAATTACAAAGTACTGGTTAAAGACTGGTGTTTCAAAGGCACTTAGAAGAATATCTGGAATCACCTTTAAGCATCAGACTCATACTTAAATCCTAAATGCCTAGATGTTTGGAATAAAATCCTGCCAAGCATATCTCTCTCCAGAGGCCATTTAAGAATGCAGCTCTCACTGGCCTGGATATCACATGCTCACTTCCTTTGGTAAAGCTGCTATCTATCTTATACAAGTGAGCAACAGATTCCTTCCTAAAGCCACCCTGATGACAAGTAGCAAGTTTCTAGTTACTTCGTTATATTACTTTTTGGTGTGAAAGAATTGAATTTCTTTAAATGTTGGATTGAAATAGAACTACAGGAGGCTCAGCTGAAGGAAAAGTAGAACCTAAACATGCCAATGCAAACTTCTCAGATTTCTTCAAGCATACAAGCTGATTGCAACGGAGCTGAATATTCTTAGTCTCATGATAAACTTAGTCACAATCTGGTACTGATCAACAAACCGTGCTAAAACTACCTGCCTTGTATTTACACCACAAGTACAGGTAAAATTATATGCCTCTCCTGAGTGCTGCTGACAGACTTCCCCTTATGACAAACTTGATGCCATTTCTCAAAGGCAGAGGTATTCAAGGGTCTAAACAAACCTAATCCACTATTTATAAAATTCAACCACTATCAAGAGAAAGTCAAGGTCAAAACAAAAGACATCAAAAACATTCTGACTGAATACTCACTGTAAATCAAACCCACCAGATATTCACAAAAACCTACAGTATAAGTAGGAATTAAGATAAACTCTAAGTGTACAAACTAATTGTGTCCTATGAACCAGTCTGGATTACGCACTGTAGTGCTTTACGGATAATTTATTTTTATGCCTGTTAAATCTCTGCTTATTGACGTATGTGAAAGTGTCAATTACCTCATCTACAGCTGACATGCCACTACAGCTGCCTCGAGACCTGCTAGCACTGCTCTCACGTTTTTAGTACAAATAGCTATGCAGAAACACTTGCAACTTCAATGTTTTCTGCAGGTAAAACCACAATGCTGACAAGGGCTGAAGGAGCAGCACACAGCTCAGCTCTGACAACATCTCCAAGGTCGTGCTGACTGCAGGTGCAGGCAATGGCCATCCAGTGCTGATTTGGCACTACCCCGGAATGCAGAAAAGGCCTTATCGTCAGATCTTTAATTGCAGCCACGTGTGAGAGGATGCAGACCAAGGCACTCTGCATACAGCTGTGTTGTCGCCTGCAGCTCCTTGCACCAGCTGCTCTCGTCAGAGTTCCTGGTCCTGATTCAGCTGAAGTTAGCAAAGACCAAACTTCTCGCTCTGCTGGAGTTACTCTGCTCTGCCCTCAAAGTAGGCTAGGAAGTTGTTTAACTCGCACTTTTAGTTAAGACAATTGATTGAAAGCTTGGGCTAGGAACCCATTCCACCAGCACAGCTTGATCTGTTGACAGATGTTCTTTCGCAGTTTTCTCAGCATCAAAAGATGTTTTTTGTTCAAGTCTGGACAAACTGGTCCCACAGCAACTTAATTACTGTTTCTGCTGGGTACCTGTGGAGTGGCTGGCTGGAGAGGACTAAGTACTGCCTGCCTTCCACCCTGGTCCAAGCACTGTGGTTTAGGATTAACATGATAAATAAATGTGAGACCATCAGGGTAGCCAGCCGCCAACCAGCTCTGCTGCTAATAAATCAGTTAATTGCACAGTAAGAGGCACCATCATTCTCTGCAAAATTACAGGGTTAGAAATGGTTAGCCACTCAAGGAATCTGATTAATACAACAATCCTTAAGAGCCTTCTAATATTTATTATTACACTGAGCAATAGTTTGGTTATTTACTTTTCCAAATAAATGTTTGTCACATTTATTAAGAAGGTATTTAGACACACTTAAGGCAGCTCTGAGAACATTTTTTTAAGTCTTTAGCAGTTTAAAGGCTTTGACCTCTGTCATGTTCTTGGGAGATTTGCAACACAGCTATTCTCACGTCTTTACAGTCTAATAAAAGGGCATCTGGAAGAGATGATGCTTCATTAAAATTGTTCTATTTACTGACAATCAAATTTTTAAAAAAGAA